CCCTTTTCCGAAGGGGCCACGCACTAGACTTTCATTTGTAAACGTAGTGGCACTCAAAAAGGGTCGTTCCCTTCAATGACTTGCGAGAATCGCAGTGCTAGCAAGCGTTCTTTCATCCTATCCACGTATGATGTATAAAACGAATATGGCACAATGAGTGGTGTGTAAGCGGTGCCACCTGCTTCTTGCCGCGCGACGGCCTCCTACCCGGGTACCTGACAGGAGGCCCGTCACGCGGCAAGAAGGCAAAGTCAGCGGACGAGTCGTAGCGCGTGCTGTGCGATGTAGGAATGTGCAATGACACACTTCTATTTATCTTGACGCGAATCACTACAGTAGGCGCTGCGACCATACCACCTGTGAGCACTGTCTTTGCTGCGTTGTTGACGCGACGGGCCTCCTATCGGTAACCCTCCTACTCACCTCCTCCCGTATCAATAATTTGGGAAAATTTATGCGGTGGCGACTTTTCTTCCAGTTAGATATAGATGCACATTTTTCAGGTTCCACCAGATCCCACTCCATCTGGCGAGACGAAGGCTGACATTTGGACTGCAGAGGAATAATGGCTTTTGGCAACTAAGATGTTCACTTTAATTAGATATTAATGTGCAATAAAACAATTCTTGAACTCGAGTGCATTTGGTAGGAAAAAGCGTTTCACATTCCCTCTCTACATTTGGAAAACCTAGCCCAATGGTACACTGAGTACGCGAGTTGGTACGCGAGCTTGAGAATGGTAGTTTTGCTCAAGCATAGCAGCTAACATAGTGCAAAAGATTTTGGTAATACAACTGTCGAGAATTTTCGACAGCGTGTTCATCTCGGTGGGAGGAAGGGGCGCTATAGTACGACACGGGACATCTCTTGAAACTAACCACAAGCCTTGAACAAGGGCGGGAACTCTGGGAAAGATGAAAATCGCTCGAGCGCCTTGAACCCCCCCCCCACGTCTAATATCTTAGTCCCGTTTGTTAACTTCGGAAGCATTGCCGTTGCTATGCTCCCACCCAATCTTGCGAAAGCGCTGGAGAGGAGCACGTTTCGCTTTTGGGGGCCTTGAGAGTAGTAAATGGACAGCGGCGTCAAACATAGTAGGTTCGCGCTGCTAACGCGGGAGGGTACGTTATTTGCGGTGTGGCGGCTGCACCACCTTTCCATACATTGCAACTGACGCGCAAATCCCATTAGTAGTGCTTTCTTTACCTTTCTTTAGTTCGTTGGGGATGCTGTTAGTCCCGTGTGCCATTCGCGCTACTTTTACCCAGTTCGTGGTCCATTCTCGCACTGGTATTACTAACTTAATTCTATGCTCCTAAAGAAGACTGTGGAAGGTACGTAGTGTGTGTGTCAAACAAAATCACTGTTCAGTTCAGTCAATCCTGTTCATTTTCATGGGATGTTACGTGTCTTCTTTGTGAACAAATTCTCAGGTGCAAAGTGAGTTGGGGGGACCACGCGACGGCACCGTTTTTCAAGCGCCGTAGGTCTAAGCCTAAGCCTATGAAGGAGTGGGTGAGCTGTGAACATTATGATTTGTGATTGGGTGCTATACAAGTAGGGTGGGCACGCCGCATTTTTTGAACAGAAATGTATGTAAGTGGGACTGCTGCCCGCTACTATCACGAGAATCGGGGAATTCGTGAGCCAGGGGAGTGTAGCCAATCTAGGGGGTGGGGGTGAGGGCAGTCACTTGACATGCGTGAAAAGCTGGGCGTGCCCACCCCACTTGTATAGAGCCTTTTGATTGACTTTTGGGCACATTTGAGAATCCTTCTAGGCTCAGGCTCAGTGCCATTGCGTTTGACAGACGCCGCGCCGCCGCGTGGTCCCCCTCCCCAATACATAGCACCCGAATTCTCGGTCTCAGGACATCTGTCAACCGTGAGCCTTGGCGGTTCAGCGTTTTGTAGTGATGTCTGGGAGCTCTCACAAGTGCACTATCACAGCATCTCCTCTTTCTTTATCTTCTTCAAAAGGCTTAGTCCCAATAAGACACAAAGTGTGTGCTTTTCCAGCTACGCTCTCACCCTTTGGTTGACAGAAGCCTTGTAACCCCGAATTCTCATGTGAAATAACTCCTTTAGGCGCTATTGGTACAGAGGCGGTTCAAAGCAGTACGTCCCACCACCCCACTCCATTTCTCTTGGAAAGGAGGTTTCAGGGTATTACTTGAGCAGGAAGGAACCATCATTTATCGAAGTGAAATATTCGTTTTGGTTTTGAAAGCTTTGTACCCTGCGGCGGAGTCCTAAAAAATCACGGCATTTTCCTTGTTATGAATGTTTAGAAAAGGTAACACTCACTTTTACCTATTCCTCCCTCATGAATAATTGCTTCATATACCGCGAAGCTTTCTTTCCTGCGAAGATCTGGAGTATTGCGAATTCAGAGAAAGTGCTGCTTCCTTTTCAAGATAGCACTCTATATTAGTCCGCCGTGTTTCTTACTTAACGAATCGATTGTTGTGATTCAGTGATGCAAGATGTGTTGCATGGGCTAAGAATGCCGCATGTGATTGCGGCTGTTGGACTGGCTGGAGCAGCTTTAACAGTCTATTGTATTTATTTCGATCACACACGACGATCCGCGCCAGATTACAAGGATAAAATCCGACGAAGTGAGCTCTTCTAGTCAGGCCTGGAGATACCCGTTAAGCTTACCTATATAGATACACAGCGAATGTCTGATGAGCATAATTGAGCTAGCCGTATTTAAATACTAAAAATATTGACCCTAAAATCAATTTAATCCTCCGTGGCAAGTGCAGGTTATAGCCACTCGCCAAAAAAGTTTGTGGATCGAAGGAGATACCATGAATTTTGACGGTTCTCTCCGAAATTTCATTTGGGCCTACTTTGTTACAGGTAATTTCTAGAAGTGAAACGGGATTTTAGGAACTTCGGAGAAGAGGAATTCTCGGGTCTCATCCAGTAAGGGGGCATGTGGTGTGACAGTTCTTGCCGGCTACAGAAATTTCCAATTTTTGCAAGATGGAGGGAATCCCCGGGGTGCGTGAACCATTTCGCTTAAGCTTTTACACCCACCCCGGAGCTTCCCTCTCCTGAAAAAAGTAGGATTACTTCATGCAATATGAACTGTCGCATCACATACCCCCTTTACTGGATGAGACCCGAAATTTCGTCCGCTCAAAATATATTTGAAGCTTTTGCGGACCTAGATATATGAGAAAGTGCGTAGCATGCCGAGTGGCATGCAATTCCCGTGCTCGCCGAGAGCGCGAGGTGCTGAGACAGAGATGGGGCATGCCCCATCGCCCATCGCTTGCTAGTGCTGGACAATGAGCCACGGCGGGCGCGACGAAATGCTTTTACCACCTCATGATCAGCAGTTTTTACAATATTTCTCAGAAGTGATTCTCCTTCTCTGAAACGACTGGAAAGGAGTTGTACGGAGGGCCTCCACGAGGCGATTCTGATTAATTCTAAAACTTACGAGGGGCTGACCAGATCTTCAGTGTCCTGAGCGTGTATGTATATATTCTACTCACTTTAGTATAAAACTTCGTCGATGAAGATCAGAAGAGAGGGGGAAAGGGAGAAAGTTGGAAATTGTTAGCCACGTGAGTACACCGCTGTCGCTTTCAAGTTTATATGCAAACTGAGGATAACTTGATGAAATAAGTATTTCTTCGTCGATTAAAGAAAATTAAACCTTCGAGTATCATGACAACCGCAATAACCATTTTGTGACGGAAAAACATCAAAGGTACTGAAAAAAAGAAGAAGAAAAGATCTATAGTAAAGCAGTTACCTGCTCTGGAAGTTGTGGTCTCGCCGTCGACATAGCTTCAACCAACAATGCAGGCACACTCTGAAATTATTGCCTGCTTCAAAAACAATCGACGCTAAACTACTGACAGCCTGAAAAAACATTGGCCCAACATATTGGTCAAGTGTGAGAAACCGAGGGAGGAGAGATAAGCTCACCGCGGCGCGGACGCGAGCGCGTGCAGGTGACGTCACAGCTGCGACAAAACGGCAACGAGAGGGCGAGGTAGGAGTGTTGCTGTCACTTCGTTTGGCTGATAGAAGGGATACTAGCATTCACTAATTGATGCAGTCAGTAGTACCGTGAGCAAAGAGGTTGTATTGTGTGTGGGTACAATTTTCGCCGTCGAAAATTAGGAATATTTTTGCAAATTTGAGGGAATTACGGTTTCGCATTTAAAACCCAACGAGTGCGCAATTAGGTCGAAGTTGATTACTTTAAGTTCATTCTTCGTTATTACTTCTACTCACTGCACAGTGAAGTCAGAATCGATAGTGTCTAATACGTATTGTTCAAAGTAATGGCGCCTGTCTTGCCCAATCCCTCCCCGCTGCTGTGACGTCAAATTGACGTCACCTGCACGCGCTCGCATCCGCGCCGCCGGTGAGCTATTCCATGGAGCCAGAAACCGAAAATGGAGAAAAATATACGTTAGACATTAAATGCCGCACTGGGTGAAAAATATGCCTTCCTCCGATGTATGAACTCTAGTGGGTGAAAAACAAGTTCTCCGCGTTTTCATCAACGCTCATCAGAAATGGTACGCCAACACCTAATCCTCCTTTACATTGGAACTCCATAGTCAAGGAACGCTCATAGAGTTATACACTAATATGTTTGAGAAAATAAGAATCATACGAGCAAAAGTCTCTCGTGCACCTTGAAAGCTCAATATATTTTTGAAGTTTCACAATTTCAAAAAGGTTCTGCATTGAGATTACTACTTGATTAGCTTGTAATGCTTTAACCACCCACAGCGAAGCTTTCCGGTAACCGTTGAATTATGGCACTGTACAGCTCCGGCGATAGCATTCGCCGGAAGATCTGCAACAATTGCTCCGGTTCGCTGCACACTGCCACACTGTTTGCCATATGAACAACGCCTTCGACCACGTTACCTAAAAACATATTGCGGTGAGGACCTAGAGAAAAAAATCTCAAGCGATGCTAGGCGTGGGATAATTATGTGAACTGAAGTTCCACGAACAATCCTGAATCATTGACCTAATAGGCTATGTTATTAACAGATTTTGAATGTGGTTTTACCTATTGTGAAGACAGAAAAATCAACTTCTACGTCAACTAGCCCCTTGAGCAGACTAGTCAGCGTAAGAGCCAGTCCTTATTTCGTCAGACAGGAGCGGCACCGATGTCGGAGCAGGCGGGGGGGGGGGGGGGGGATTGGAGGGCTTGTTTGTCTGGACAGGATGAAATTCTGAAGATCTGAACTTCCACACCGGTGCGTCTTGTAAGGCTGCGCCACTGCTACTCTCGGCAGCTACGTGAGATGAACGCGCCCATTTCCTTTTGATTGAATTTGGCTAATACAATTGGATTATTTGCCAGCTGATGATATTTAGTGTTGTGACTTCTTTCCCGGACCGGTTTGGTTAATTAACTAATTGGCGCATAGACATGGTTAGTAAGCAGGATTTGACCCCCCCCCCTGATTTCACTGCACTTGCGATAAGGGGTGTGGTTCACTAGGAAACAAAGCGACTTTATCGCGTTTCGTGCGCGAAACATTTTGCGCTGGTCCACGCACTACTTCAACCAAGCCTTCTTAAACCTTGTGTGGCCTCTTCTCCGGTCCCTCCTCTTCAGGCTTACAAGGAAAGGATGGTAGGTCGAAGTGGCCGTATAAAATGAGATGTATACCACCTGATGCGTCTCTAGACGCTGATTCCAAATCTGCCTTCCAAATCTGCTAAACGGCTCTCCGAACGGAGTTATGAAGCGTAATAGCTCAGTGGTGATGGTCCGGGGTGGCAGGTAAAAGCTCGTAGGATCGGTTCCTTTGCAAGTTTGTTGCTTTGCTTTTGTCCGCAACACTTCTAGAGACAAAAGCAAAGCAACAATTGCAAAGGAACCGATCCTACGAGCTTTTACCTGCCACCCCGGACCATCACCACTGAGCTATTACGCTTCATAACTCCGTTCGGAGAGTCGTTTAGCAGATTTGGAAGGCAGATTTGGAATCAGCGTCTGGAGTCGCATCAGGAGGTATACATTTCATTTCAAACGGCCACTTCGACCTACCATCCTTCCCTTGTTAGCTTATGGATTC